CGGAGAAAGAAGTCGGAATAGTCGTGGCGCGTTTCTTTTGTAAACATACTTAAATCTTGTTGCTTTTTATACACATGCACAAACAAACACACACTCACTTAACATTATTTAAGACACGCCAATTAAGTCCTCCGGATCGGGGCTTCCCCTCCCGCACCGAAAATTAAACCTCGCACAATGCTTATAAATAAACGAGCGCGAGAGGAGGAAGACGAAACGAATAAAAAGGAGGACAGTTCGATCTGTATAAGCCGGGCAAGCCCCGCTCGCGCGTTATATAACATAAGTGAATTTATACCTGTTATGTCGGGGCTCAATATCATCTCCGATCGATCGGTGATAAGGCTTGGCCATCTTGTTAACTTGTTAACGAAACAACTAATGAGTCAAACGACCACGTGTTGCAAGTCATATTTATGTACAGAAAGAATCATTAAACAAGAAAATAATAGCACAATACGTTCACGATTTAATTCCCACCCTTCAACGTTCGCTTCAACTTTATGGCTTCATTTTGGCTACCAAGCCCATCCTTAAATATATACATTTTATATTAGTTTTTTTTTTAATAACAAACATTACCTTTCAATTTATCACTTTATTAATATTTGCAATTTCATCAAAAACCCACCCGAACAAATACTTTTACTGTTTCATTTTATAACCTTGTAATATTTAATAATTATTCGAATGTCTTATTATTTTTTTAAAATAAAAAAACAGAATCGGAGACGTGAAATAAGTTGCGTTCGTTAAATTTAATGGCGCGAATAAATTCAGGCGAGGAATCCGAATCCGTTCTTGCATTTACTAGAAAGAAAGAAAAAGAACCGGAGACATCAACGCTAGTGTAAACTCTGAACCCTAATAACCTTCCGAGCGAAATCCAACGTTTTTGAATATCATTGGCGCATTTTACTAGGGGAACTCTGAATTGGAATTGCGTATAAATAACACCATGCTCACGTTTAATTACCGAAAAGGTCAACGAAATATTTATATTTAATTAGATTGCTGCAACATTAACAAATAAAAAAAGTTCTTAATGTCGAAAAAGCTGCGTGTGTATAATTTGCGATTTTTATGTTTTGAAGATTTTATTTATTCTTCGAGGAATGTTAATGAATCGTCTCTCTATTCATGCTAAAACAAGGATAATGTGTTTATTATAATATTATCAAATAATAATAAACATATAAAATTGTAGCTTTTTCATAGAAATGAATACATTTTTGACAATTAACTTCAATTTTATGTGTTAAAATGGTATTTGACTACTTAATAATAAATCAAAAAAATAAATTATTATCAACTTGTTAATGTCAACTTGCGAATGACCAAATTTGATACTTATAAGACATAGTATAATACTTGTTCATAAATAAAAGTATTTGTGAAATATTGCGTGATTTAAATAACAAATACTTTCCGTTTAATGTACCAATTTGCACTGACGATTTAATTAATAAAAGTTACTTGCCAAGTAGTGCGTAGTGAGTAAACAGTTTCAGATGAAGTTAAGCATAATTGATAATCAGTGGGATTTATTTTTGTTGTGTGTGTGTGTAGTAAGTGGGATTAGGAGAATTGCGGTGATTTAATGTGGTGGCTCCGTTGTGCGGCTGGGAACGAAAGCTGCGGTGGTTCGGTGGGGTCCCGGGGCCGGCAGCCGGAATGAAATGCCACCCGCGCATCCAATTCGCCTCTATTTATCTTGTAATCAATCAAACGTTGTAGTGATTACACGGAGCTGCCGCTGCCGAGAGAGAGTCGAAATTTACGGTTTTCTGGGGGTTTCCCCCTTCGTACCCGAACATCCCCGCGCCATTCCCATGGCCTCCTGCATCTCTATGCAAGTATGTGTATATGTATATATGTATGTGTGTGTATGTATGTGGGGCGCTTATCTTGCGCTCGCATCGCAATCCAATTAAATTTGACAATGGGTTTACGTCGGTGACATGACCAGAGGAGCCAGGACAGTGAGCGGGGAAAGGATGAGAGAGAAAAGACGAAGGAGTCCCGTGCAGAAAAATTCTTGCGAAGGGAAAAATTGTGAATTTCTCATGTACGGATTTTCTGTGTTTATTGTTTTCGTTTTCGGAAGGGAATTAAATTCGATTGAATGTTATCGGCACGTAGATCTCTGGGGTCTCCTCTCTTGATGCGCGCATGCAACGGCCGCGCGATGGAAAACGAGGAGAAGAAGAAACTGCTGCTGATGCTGCAGCGGCCGAGCACAGACGGAGAAGAACAAGAGGAAGAAATGTGAGTGTGTTGGGATGTTTAGCGAGGGCCGGGCTATAAAACAGCCGTGTAGGACAACGCATAACAAGTGTCCACTGTGTGCGTGATTGACACGTGAGCCCCGCTGATTGACGGCGAGATGAATGCCATCGATTCCAATCTCTCTAGATCATTCCATCCGATTCCTCAGTCTCGTTTTCTTCTTCTGCTTCTGCTGCTGTTGCTGCCAAACGCGGCCTCTCCGCTTCTGCGTCTCCCATTTCGGTTTAACTTTTTTTTTGTAGTTGTTGTTTTCGGCTCTCCGGGAAAAAAACCTGAAAATAAATAATTAAAATCGAAGCGCGGATTACAAGCATCGCAAGATCGCAGCGACATCTTCATCGGCAGCGCCATCTGCATCGAACCTTTTGCACAACCCTTCGCAAAAATATATTTATAAAAAAAATACAATTACACCGAGAACAGAGTGAGAGAGGAGGCGGGAGGACAGGTGAAAATTGTGGTTTTCCTCGTCCCCCGAGGACTCCGGGGGAATCCTATCCTACACCTGCTCGCCTCGAAAGGCCACTAAATCAAATTCCAAATAGGTAGGCGTTACTCAATAAACTCCCAATATCGAAAAGCCAGAAGGAGCGAGCGAGAGCAACTCTATGACATCGGCAATATTAAATACCGAATCCCCTTGTTAATAACATTTTCAGTTTTCTTTTTTAATGAAAGAAGAAGAAAAAAATAAACAACGTGCAACGAGGAGAGAAAGAGATAAAGAAGAAAGAAAAAAAAAACGACGAAAGGCAATAATTACAGAGCGCGTTCGCCCCTATTTTCGTCCTCTTCCTCTTCGGTAATAATAATAAATAAATAAATAAAAATTTCGTGGAAATCCATATCGCGTGGGAACGTTAATTCGTTTTATAATTACAAAACACCGTCGTGGAACAAAACGGGTTTCGGGTTTCGGCGAAGTCGCGGATATTTCTCAATTTCGCACGCATCCCCTAATTTGATTACGGCGAAATAAAAGTAGAAAAAATAAAATAACACAAGAAAAGGAAAACTGTTGTAATCGAAGGCGACACGCCATTTTATCCGATCGAAGTTACGCGATTAAGATGTCCGCCTCGCAATTTATTTTTTTGTAAAGCGAAAAATAAATAATAATAAACCTTGGTTTGTTTCATTCGTGTGTTCAGTAATAATTCTGGGTGGAACATCCGTCAGGTTCTTATTTAAAATGTGCTTAACGTTAATGGGAAAACGTATCATAAATTATGCTAATTCGATCTGAACTAGTAATTACTTAATCACATTTAAAGTTCGTATTAATTAAATGCCATACAAAATGTATTTTCGAGTTCGCCGTTCGTTAATTCAGTACAGGTGGGATTTCCTAAACGATATTCATTAGTATCAATTACTTCAATTATTACACACAATAGTTGCTAATTATATTTTAATTCAATAACTATATAAGCTATATATTAAATTAATCATATAAGAAAATGTATTAGTTACGAAATAACTCGTAGTTGTCTGTCTGTAAACTACGAGTTATTTCGTAATTGATTTAATTATTAATAAGACATTAGTTTTTATTTATTATTCTATCATTAGATTAATCGAGTGTAGGATTTTGTGTGTGTGTCGATGGTTAAACCAAACAAATACAGATTGTTGGTCACGATTCGTTTATAAATAATGATTTCTTGAAAAAATCGCATTAGTTCAATGAACCGTCGACGGTTTCTTGAGCATCGATCAATTAAAATATGTATATTTAAGTATTCGTAAGAGACAGATAAACGTGGAAAGATGGAGACTGAGAAAGAGAGGGAACAAAAAAAAATAAAGAAGAGAAGTTGGAGTGATTTAAGATTGGTATAAGATTAATAGATTAATGTAATCGGATCCGGCAAACTGTGGCATCAGTAATTACGATCGAATCTGGAGGAATTAGCAATGATTTACATTGGGTTTAAGTGAGTTAGCGCGAGTGTGGGTCGATTTTCTCTCCTCTCTCGTCTTTACCATGGTTGTCTCGGGTCGATCAGCCGAGATCTCCGGCCGAATGACCAAGTGGATCGCATTAAGGAATGTCATATTCATGTAAAGTGAAGAGACAAGCGTTTAGTCCGCTCCGCTGGCCGTCGAGACCGTTCATATGATCTAAACCGAATTGAATGAAATGCAACAGACAAAACGAGAACACACTTAAAAAAAAAGGACGATCTAAGGAAGAAGAGGAGGAATGAAGAAAAAGAAAAAAAACACCGCTCACTCTGGCAGCGAATAAATATGAAAGACGAGGCAGGAGTATAACGTGAAAGACGTGCGCACCGCTCTTCAAAAACAATCCCAGAGACTACTAAACCAAAAAAAAAATGTGTAGACAAAAATATACGAAAACGAAAGAAGTGATTGTTGGGATAAGAGAGAGAGAGAGAAAGAAAGAGAGATGCATAGAAAGCGCGGAATGAAGTTTCGGATATGTCAAAAAGCTTTTACGGACGACAAAAGGATTTTCTGTTCTCGAATTGTCCTGAAACGTGTGTCCATTGAATGGGAATCGTTTCATAGTTAAGTGCTTTATTGTCACTACCTGAGCCTTCCTCCACGGCTCTGACTACGGGAGACAGCCTCTCTCTTATTTTTTATGTTTCTTTCTCTCTTACAATTTCCATTGCGCATCGATTCCAATCTCGCCGATTACGGTCCGCCTTATTTCATATATTTTTTTCATATTTTTGTTGCAGAGTTTACAAAGCGCGGCGCGAAGGGCGGGCACGAGCTGCGCGAACTGCAAGACGACAACGACAACCCTTTGGAGGAGAAACCAAAACGGCGAACCCGTCTGCAACGCATGCGGATTATACTACAAACTGCACAACGTAAGTACAACTAAGCATTACATTTTCCTTCTTCTTGTTCTTTTGTTTTGTTTTGTTTCCCTCACTTTCCGTGGGCTCGGAATTAAATCATACGCACAATTAGGTCTGATTAGCGTTTGCAACCTTCAGACCGAATTCCGCGACGGCTCGGTCACTGCACCAAGGAAATATACTGTCCACAAAACTAACATATCAAGGTGATACTTTCATATCCATATTCCAATATCAATTTGTAAATTGACTTCTTTCGGCATTAACAATAATTTATTTCGTACTAAATCATTCAGCAAAGTGTAGTATTACGAAATTATAATCCACATATTCATTAAATTACAACATAATTCTGTCAGATTAATTCCTTGAAATTCATATTTCTTAACTGCAAAACATGATAATTTGACTTTCCAAATATTAAAGAGTTTTAATCGAACAAAAAAGGATTAAATTTGATTTCATATATTAAAGTTATATAAAAAATGTACTAGAAACTATTGTAACGATGTCATGAAATTGAAATGAAAATAAAAATTCTTTTTTTTTGATAAATTATAAAGAGGAGATGGCATGAAGTGGAAAATTCCAACAAAAAAATCTAGTTTTTCTCATAGATTATAACATTATATGGTAGAAGAAATGCGGTATCCGCCTTATACAGGCCTGGTGTCATTAAAATAGCGGGGATCGTTGAAATTCGCCCTGAAAGTATATACTATAACATTTCAACGATTTTCTTTACGTGCGGATCGACAGGGGCGGACGACGGCGGCAACATGTAATTTTAGTACCAACAATGACACTTTTGAGGCACAAAGGAAGATCGCAATTGATACTGTTTACGAGATTCTTCCGCTCCTTGAGCGAATAACGTTTTACTACTCCGGGCAGTATCCAATTACTGCGCGGACGGTAGAAGAAGTGAGTAAATCCCCATGTTTTTGTCCCCCGAATTCACCGAGAGGGATGTTTCTTCACGTATTCAATACGGAATAGGAGAGTCACTTAATGTATTCTCCTCATCGGATTAGCCGTATTGCGCCCACGCAAAACGTTACCTAAGCGACAATAGCAATTTGTTACGCAATAATAACCGGAGCACAGGGTTATAGATCGGACGGATAGCAGCTTATTTAGAACCTTTTGTGTACGAAAATAAAGAAAAAGCGAAACGGAAAAAGAGAAAGATGAAATGAAATAAACATAAAATAGAAGAGGAATAGCGGACGAGGGGAAAACGCGGTCAATGCTGTGACCCTTCAACTGTGCTCACGTGCCATCGCGATATTCCCATTTGCATGCAGCACGGAGCGGAAAGAGACAGTTAATTAAAAGTGTAAAAAAAGGATGTGGGAAAAAATTAATTATCTACCTTGACAGATAATAAAGGGATCTAATAAATCCAAGGAGGCCTTCGCTACCGTCGCCGGCGCTGCCCAAGCGCAGATTTATGAAGTGCTCTTCCATCGCTTTTCCATCCTCGCTCCACCAGAGTTTCCAAACGGAACAAAAGAGAATGAAGCAAAATAGTGGCTTGTTATTTATTTTTTGTTGCTGTTGTATCTTCTTCTTCTCTGGTTTCATTTCGTTTCTCTTCCCCCGAGTCAATTATAAAGTGAAGAGGAAGAGGCCGAGAGAGCAGCCCGCTTTAACTAGAACGATTTCCAATTAATATAAATCATTGGGAGATGTTTCGAGCTACCGTTCGATTCCCAGAAGTAAAAACGAGGGGGGCCTTCGTCCGCGGCTACCGCATCTCTTCCGACGATGCTGATGATGATGATCATCATCATCAGAAGGAGCAGCAGCATCTGGGCGTCGTAATTTATGAAATTTCTAAATTCGGTGCAAGAGCACTCCGATCGCTATCATCCAGCCAGCATATATATACACACTCACATATCCGAGATAATCTGAGCAGCATATGAAAGAGCTTCTGTGTATTCTTCACGAGCACTAAAATTAGAGTCTCGCCGGGAGTGGAGCGCAGTGATAGATGGACGCAATTTAAATAATATTGAATTTGAATGGAAGAAGGAGCGAACGAGTGAAGAAGAAGTTACCTCTCGGACTCGCAGTTGACACAACCGGCATGAGGAACGCACTCGCCGCGGGAGATTAGCTACCCATTTATTAACATTTAAACGGAATGGAAGCTGAAAAGGAGCAAAGGACTAAAGCCGAGAGAAAGAAATAAAGCACGCATTTCGAATTAATTTGGACATCGAAATATGTAACGGGAATTTTAAAAATAATAACCAGAAGCTCTTGGCCTCACGCAAATTCTAATCTGATTTATTAAGAAATTCGCATCGAGAATTATTAAATTACTTTCTGCAGATCGATCGCTCCGTTAAGTGTCCTCTTTCGTTTTTATTTCCGCCATTAGAATCCCTTTTAGTCTACGGAGGCAATCTTTTCTGGACTCGACGAGATAAGAGTCAGTCAGCTATCCCGCGGGAGGGGC